CTGGTCTCAGTACTAAATCAAAAGAGCAGTGTCTAATGGCTGAATCTAGTATGACATCCCAGAAAGCTGTTGAAATCACTGTTTCTATGGAAATTTCTACAAGGGAAATCTGGGGGGCTGAACGGACGTGCAAAAGTAGGCATGAAGAGAAGTATCTTAATGGAGTGTAGAAGGTTTTCAGGGATGTTGCTAAGATGGGTCATTCAGAGTGAGGTGTTGGTGTAAATTATTCCATCTGGTAATTTAAAAAGCTGATTCCGCTTATCATGATAAGGTCATTTCCTTATCAACAGAGGAAATGACCACAAAAGACCCATGCTAGTAGATGAAAGGAAGGAGTGAAGTAGTAGGCAAGAGTCAGCAGCTGCTACAGCATGAACTGTGAGTTTGTGTCTATATTGTTTAGCTGAATTTGTTCATGAACCCATTGCTTAGAGGGGAACTGATCCAGATAGAGCCACAGTATCACTTATATCAAACAGTGCTGTAGCATGGTATGTTTCCAGTTCAGTCTGGGGATAAATTATGCAGGACAGGCACGGGGAATTTGGCTGTTTGGGTTATCAAGTGACTGAGGGAGACAAAGGTTGAAGTCTACCAGGGTGCTGTTTTCAGGGGACAGTGAATCCCTGCTGGGCTGTGGCTTGAAGCAGTCTGGCTAATTGCACAGAAATTTACCCACCCTTTGAAGGTGAAACTGGGCTAACTGCAGCCCTCCTAACTAGTGAAAAGGAAAGACAACATCCCAGCATTAACTATTAAGCCAGCTCAGATGTTGCAATGCTCAGATCAAAGGTCTGCAGAGATCTGGAACATCTATTCAGGGCTCAGGCATCCATCATATCTGCATATATATAAATGACAGATCGATCACATTAAGTGAAAAAGAACCGTACAGTTAGTTTGAGTATGAAAATTTCAAAGCAGCTATAAATCCAATGTTACAGGCAAAACAATGGTGCTTCTTCCTTCTATTTAAAATCTTTCCTTCCTTTGTTGTGAGTCAAAAGTTTAGCAAAACTGATGTATGCCAAATTTATTTGCAAAAGCTGGAGTAGAGTAAAAAAAACCAAACAAATCACGCTAGGAGTAGCTAACAATAGTGACGCACAAGGGATTGTACTGCTCCCAGTAAGATCATATCAACATCAGCATTGTTGCAGGAAACTCTGGATGAGGTCCTGCCCAATTAAGCTGCAGAAGGTCAAGGCACTGGGATTTCACTTGAAGTTTTGAGAGTTATCAGGAAAAATAGTTATGGGAAAGAGAGTAAAATAGCTTTGTGTTCATCTTTCAGGAGTCAGCCCATACATATCTTCATGTATTACAGCCTATAGATCTGTAACAGTGGTGAGGCATACCCTCAACTGATGCAAAGGATCACAGCTCCATCCGAGTTGTGTTTCTGAAAGTTGAAGCTGTGGCCCTAACATGAGTTTCTGCTGTGTTTTCCACCTGCAAGTACGCACAGAGGCAGTGGGGTGTCAGGTCACTATGCGCTGAAGGAGATCAGCTCTGTGCTGTTGTGTATGTACATTCTTTAGCGTAACAGGGTCTTGGTTCTTAATAGTGGCTTTTTGCCAGTGCTGCAAAACAGTTAAATTCATCATGTATTAGGTCATAGGAACACCAGGACACTGATTGAGGTGTAGGGTTTTGTTTTCTTTTTTTTTTTTTTTTCCAAAGCAGTGTTGAATAAAACAAACTTCTATGTGAAAAGTATTTTTAAATGACACTGAGTAGCGCTGAATAAAATACTTAAACCCAAACTTGCTGCCTAGGGATTATCTCCTTGCTTAATTCCACTTTAACGCTATTAACAGAGGGACTGCAACTGTTCAAAACCAAGTAAAATGTTTCAACACATCTTTTATCATAGCAAACATGCTGTTTTGCTTTCTCACTCAGAAATTATTGATCTATTTTTATTCACGCTTTGGAAATAAGCTTATCTTGCCTATAGAGAGGTTCAGTCTGAAAGGCAAAATTATGAGGGATCTACACGCAGTCAAAAAATATTGGCTAGAATGCCAGTGGCTTGTTCAGTTTTACTTCCAGCACCCCTGTGCACCCTGCCTTCAGCAGTGGGGCACACTTCTGGGGCCCAGCTTTGCGTTAAAAAAAAACAGAATCATAGAATAGTTAGGGCTGGAAGGATGCTAAGGTTGTTTATGTTCTGTGGCAGATTCCAGATGAGAAGCTGAAGACTACTCCCGCCTCGCAAGGGGCTCACTGATGCCTGCAGAATCCAAACACCAGCCAAGTGGCTGAAAAGAAAATGCCAGGAGATGAACAATATGCAAAGGGAAGCTGTGCTGGATGCTCTGAAGGTGCTTCTCTGGTGCTGAGCCACCAAAGAGCATGTTGCTATTTAGCCAGCTTTAGGCCTATGGACAATTCCACTGACTTATTTTGCTTTCATAGGAAGTTTAGAGGTTTTAAGTATAGTATGTGTGTATACGTGTGTTCACTGTGGCCAGGACCATTTCATTTCACCGCCACGTCCATCTTTTTAAAAGTGATCTTCTTCAGCTGTATTTCTTGTTGGCTGTGCCCTTCCTCCAAAAATACTTCCACCCCCTTCCAGTGTCATGGTGGCATGAAAATTTAACACCCCACAACTTAGCTGTCCATCGTTAACAGCCAGAATATTTCCTTTTCATCTAAAATTATATCATAAATGGGTTGGATTAGAATCATAACATCATAGAATCGGTTCGGTTGGAAAGGACCTTAAGATCATCTAGTTCCAGCCCTCCTGCCACAGGCAAGGACACTGTCCACTACACCAGGTTGCTCAAAGCCATATCTTAATCTAAAATTACAGTAATTAGTTGCATCAGTGCCCATGCTGAAAGTGGAAACCCCAGGGAAATTCCTCATTGGAACTGTCTACATTCATTTCCCGAGGCATACATTTGTTAAACTCGGGGAGGACAGATGATCGCAGTGGACATTTCCCAGAGTTCACTAGTGAAGTTGTAAAGCCGGACGGGGCAGAAGCGAGGGGCTTGAAGGAATTGCAGAGAAACGTGCCGATGTGCCCGCAAGCCGAGGCGAGCTCCGCCCCCCTCCCCCGGCAGCACCTGGCAATCGCAACGTGCCTTTGGCAGGGGAAGCGTACTAGGGAAGCAGTTTCGGGAAGCTGCCCCCCGCCCGGGCAGCTGCGGGGCCGGCCTCGACAAGTGCCCCCCCCGCCCCCGCCGCAGGGGCCGGCAGCAGGGGAAGAGCGGAGGCACACAGCACGAACGCTCGCCGCCAGCCCGGCAGGCTCCGAGGGGAGGCTGCTGCGGGCGCGCCGGCCGGGGCCGCCCCCTGGGCCTCTCCCACCGCCCCTCGGCATGGTCGTGCCCGCCCTGGCGCGCCCCCGCCCCGCGCTTGCCGCCCGCCCGCCCGGGCCAGCGGGAAGATGGATGGGCACATTCTGGGCTGGATCGTCCTTCTGTGGCTAGCAGGTAGGGCGGGGGCTGCTGGCCGCGGGTGTCTCGGTGGCCCCGACGTGCTTTTTGCTGCGCCTTGCTCGGCGGGCTTTACGTCTTTCTCTAGGATGAGAACGGGAGGTTTGGGGATGTGCCGCGGCAGACTGTGGAGGGAGCCGGCCGGGGGAGGCTTTTCGGGAGCGTACCGCCGTGCAGTTTGCGGACACTTCGAGGAGAGCGCTGGATTCGCTGGGGATGGGGGGAGGCAGCCGGCGCCTCCTACCCGGGCGGAAGAGGACAGGTCCTCACGGCACCGGCGCTGCTGCCCGCGGGGGGCGGTTGGGCCAGTGTTTACCGCGGCGCTAAGGGAGGGAGGAGCGCTGTGTGGCTGGGAAGGTGGGAGCTAGCCCGGGGAGGCAGCAGGAGAGCAGGAGGAGGCAGCAGGAGAGCAGGGGGAGGCCGGAGCGTCCTTGGCTGCGGTGCAGGGGGGATGTCGACAGCCCTCGGCTCCCACGCCGGGCCGGGAACAATTGCAGGAACTTCTCCTTTCCCGGTGTCCTGGACGCGCATTCCTTTTGACACAGGTGTGAGAGAAGGGGGCTGCCAGGGAGGGGCAGAATCCGGCTGTGCTAGTGATGGTGTAGTATGCACAGCATAGGCCTTTGAGCCCAGGACGGGACTCCCGCTCGATAGCGCAGCTTACCGGCCACCTCCTGCCCGGCTGGCTCCCTCAGACGTCGAGCTAGCCCTTCCTAAGCAAGGAGGAGGGGAGAGGGAACAAGCTGAAAAGGAGCTGGATCTAAAAACTGGATAACAAGGAAAAGAGAGGGTAGGGTTTACGGCAGAATAAGAGCGGCAGGGAATCAGGGAGAAACAGGATCTGCTAACTCCTGTGAGCTGGTGCAGCATCCAGGCACAGGCAGGAGCATTCCTTAGGAAAAGCTTCAGCAGGCTGGTTTTAGGCAGGCAGGTTACAGGCTGAAAGAAGCAGCAGACACACTTGGATTAAGTGGCATTTATTTCCTACCACCACCAGTGTATCCCACAAAACCAAAACCAAACAGACCCCCCCCCCCCGCCCAAAAAAAAAAGAAAAAAACCCTCAGCCTTTTCCCTCTTCCTATTCAGATTTAGGATTCACAAGCAGTAAATTCGGCTCTTAGTCATAACACCTCTCTCCCACCACCCACCTACCACTTTCCTTGCTTTTGCAACTTGCTTTTGCACTCTGAGTCATCTTCAACACCAGTGCCTGCCTACTGTTCCCTTCCAGGGTTTCATGGCCGCATCGGGGCTTTGGCAGCTCCTAGCTCATTCTCCTTTCTTGCCTCCCTCCCTGCCGTTTGGCTGGTTCCAAACGTATCCCACTTCACTGAGTTGGTCTGTAGTTCAGCCCTTCCACAGCTACCACTGTTTTCCTACTAGCCATAGTGGTATGCTGAGAAATAACATAGGGGGACTGGTAGGAGGAGTATAGGGTAAAGATAAACTTGACATTACATTCCTCGCTCTTTTTAAAGAGCATTATCTGGACATGTCAGGACTTTTCCGTCAAGCTGAAAGGCTGGGCTGTTGACACCTTTCTCCCTCCATTAAAAGTAGTTAATGATTACCGGCAGCTACCGCTGTTTGAAGCATGCAGAGAGAGGTATCGCTGCAGTAGGAAAACCTTCCAATTTCCTCTAGTCCTGGACTTGGAGACAGATTTGCCTGCTGCTGGTGCTGTCAGCCGCAGGCAGGCAAAGGCTTCTGGCAGGCAACAGGTTAGCTGCAGCCGTGTGCTGAGAGAGGGAGGCAGCCAATATCCGCTCGCTGCCCTCCAGCCTCTTGCCGCTGCCGCCCAGCGATGGAGCCCGCGCTGCCGTCGTCTTCCATGACTGGGGGAAGGCAAACAAGTAAAGGTGTGTGTGTGAGTGTGAGCGTCTATGTGTGTGTACAGAAAAGGGAGAGAGGCTAGCAAACATGGATTCAAGGTTCTCCTCTCCACAGTGGCTGTGCGAAGGAATGAAAGGTCTGCAGTAAGGTAGGGAGCCCTAATCCATCCCGAGTGGTACACTCCACTCTGGGAAAAGAGAAGTGGGGGTTGGGAAGTGCAGGGGCCAGGGTAAGACACAGAGTAGAAAATGGGGAGGAAGCAGGGAAACAAAAGGCAGCAAGAGGCTTTCGCCCCCTTCTCTCCCCTCCTCCCTCTTTGAGGTGGACTGAGAAATGTCTAACAAGCCCTCACGGTTCCTTTCCTCCTAGCATGAATTCTTCTCAGTCCTTTGTTTGTCTTTAATTTTTGGCTCCTGCATTTATCTTTTGTTTTGTTTTGTGCATTGTGACTTCTCACTGGAATTTCAAAAAAATCTGTGTGAGATGCAGTGGTTTTGGTTTGGCTTCTCATCCTCCTGCCCTGCTTTCCCACGTGCCTAAAGCTGGTGCTTGAGTAACAACAGCAAAGGGATGGTCACCCTTTATTCCTTCCTGTGGAGTGACATGGGTTTAAGTATGTGTGGGACTGTGTTCTCATTCTAGAAAAAGAAGGTACAATTTGCCAAGTATCCTTAAGCTCCTGTATAAAGCTGGTTCTTGTAAATCACCAACTGCATCTTGATTCTGGAATGAATCCTCCCCTCTTATTTACCATTATTCATATGAAAGCTGCAATTCCTAATGATTTAAAACTAGAGAGAAGTGAAGACTGAACTCCAGTTTTACCTATAGAACAAGCAGAGCACGTTTTATTTTTCTGATTCATGACTCAGGATAAGCTTGGAAAGATGACCCTTAGAAGACTGTTCACATTAAAATGTGATCTTCTCTTCCTGTTAAGCAGTTTTTCAGCAATGCAATGGTACACTACAAAGGTGGGTAGATTTACCTTTGCTTTCTCAGCCACAGTTTAGGAGAGCAGGCAGAGGGGGCATGCTGGAGCGCAGTTGTGCTTTCCTGTTTCCTGGCCAGCAGAAGAGACTTCTTGGGAAGACAGGGAAACGGATGGACTGTTTTATCTGCCTTGAGTTAAAGTGTTCATTAGACTTCCTTGACTGGCGGCACACAGCATGTAACTGGGAAGAAATCTCATACTTTTTTTACTTTTTACTCCTTTGAGATCACCTTGAGCAGGACTGCCAGCAGTGGAAGTCCCAGTGCTATCCCAAAGACAGGCTTGGTACTACAAGGTTTGGAGAGACTCTTCTCATTTCTTTCTCAAAAGTTAGTGGTGACCAGTTGCTGAGTGATAGTTTTGGGAGTGATTTCTGGGATGCTGAACCAAGTCTGTAAACTAGGAGCCACGTGACAATTCTAACAGCTTTTCAGACAAGGTGGATTTGATCTCGTGGCCAAAGCTGAGATAATTCACCTGAAAGCATCCAGGGTGACTTTTGTGAATGTGTGAAAGGGGCAGGTAGTTAAAGAGTATAATGAGTGCAGGAAAGCTGGTGTAGAGGCCCCAATACCTAGGAAAGCCTGTGGAATGTCCTGAGATCTTGGGGAAGCCCTTACACAGTTTCTGACATTTCAGGGCTGTGTACTTCCTTAGAGAAGTCAGGAGCATGGAGGACAGCATCACAGAGAATGGGGAGAGCAAAAAAAAAAAGCCTGCTGCAGTCAGTTTGAAAAGTCTGGGCCATGTCCTACATGGAGTGTTCTGTTTTGAGGTTCTATGCTGTGAGTGCTGGGTGTGCAAGGTTGTGCTTTTCTCTGAGTGCTTTGGTTTTGCCCCTTTCCAGGTTAAGCAGGTAGGGAGCTGAAATTTTCGGGTTTGCTATGGAGCTGTAAAAAGCAGTGCCATGCTGCTGACCTAGTTAGGCATTGGTTTCTTGCTAGCTAAAAGAAGTTGACAATTAGATGCCAGGTTGCTAAGAACACATGTCTGATAGGAACCAATCCAAGGCATCCAATTAATTTCCCATAAACCACTCAACATAATCTGATGGTGATGGCTTTTGTTAATAAATTGCGTAGATTGGATTTAGTCCAGCATGCGTAGGCAAGAATCTGTACAATACAATCTCAGTGATCCCGCTGGCTCTCCAGTCACCTGTTTACACATCTGTTTATCATCTTTGACTTTTCAAAGTCCAGATCTTCCATTTCCTGGAATGGTATGTCTGTATTCAGCAATGGGGGAAAGAACAGTTTTATTTACGCATAGTAGCCGAGGTGCAGAAAAAGATACAGCATCTCCTAGCTCAGCATTTTTTGTTTGGGGAAGTGATACAAACGACCCTAGGAGCACTACCTCTTACCAATGAATGTATGCTTTTCTGCCAAAGCCCTTAGGTATAGTCTAGGAGTAGTTTTCCAGAGGTGCATGGCTGAGGGCATGAGGACTTCCATTCTTTGTGCACAACTGCCAGTCCTATCGAGAAAGTTGCATAAAATTGGAGGGTGTAATTTCTGTGGTTTCACAGCATCAGCTTTAGTGTCTCAGGCAAGTGGTAGAATGAGCCAAGTAATAGCAAAGAAAGAGATAGGATGTATCAGCAGATACGGACACCCGTGCTGACCTGAAGAGTAATGTGTGCTGCCTTCTCTTGGACTCAAATCTTACATGCCAGAAGGATGCAGTCTGAGACTTGTTACATTGAACTACAGTGTTTGGCCTTGCCACTATTTACAGGCATTAGTGCTTCTGATCAACCCTTTTCTAACTACATCATCTTTAAAGGTTCCTTCCACCCCAAACCATTCCATGATTCTTGATTCTATTCAAAAGGGCTAACTTAAAGCTAGGTTTTGAAGCTAAATCTTCCTAGGATTCATCTAGCCTCAGGGAGGCTTCTCCAGGGGCAACTGAAAAGCAAGAGCCTAAGTTACCACCTCTCAGTTGCCTTCTCTTGCTCGTGGAAGTTGCTTATGAAGATCAGGCTCACAAGGCTCAAATGTGCCCATATCAATATCCCCTTTATAATCACTTCCTGGAATTCTCTTTAATCACCACTAGAACGTATTAGTGATAGCTTGTGCATAATGTTGATTGCATAGTTTGAATGCATAATCTGAGGACGGTTCAGGAAAAGAATCAGAGAAAGGAGACAAATATACTTTGCCAATGAGAAACAGACAAACCCCATGCAATTATGTTTCTGAAGCATGATTATTTTTAAGCTCTTTCTCTGGGAGTGTATACACATGCCCAGATACACAAACCGGTGGATCCTTTTATTCTTTGAGAGGAAGTATATCTGTTGTTTTTAAGATGCACTTGATTAATATTTGCAGACCTTTCTCTGGGGATTTAGGAGAACAGAAAAAAGGTAATCAAAATTGTCATGTATTTATGAGACTACTCTCATGATTAGGGTTAGATTTTTCTTGTGAAAGTTCAAACATCATGAAATTCACGATGAACAGGTTGCTTCTTTGGAGTGCAAGAAGTACATTTCCATGATGCTTTTGAAATAAGGGCTTATCTTGCTCTGGCTGCATTAGTCAAAACAGCAGAGCACAATTCAGTTTCTTTTTAGTCCTTGTACTAAACTAGACAAAGAAGTACGATGGTTGTAAATCCACCATCTTGTCTTCAGGCAGCTGAATATCCTGGTGGCCCTTTTGATGGATGCTGTTACAGCAGTGACGTACTACATGAATCGATTCTGACACTTTTTTTTTGGCGGAGGAAGTAACAGGTGTATAATTTCCCAGTTCAGCCATAATTATATATAATTTGACTTAAATAGAGTTTCCACTGCTCCAGTCTCTCAATCGGAGGCACTATGTTGCTCCTAAAATACTATTTCTGGAAAGAATCTGAAAATAATACTTCAAATGTTAATAAAGAGTTTGGGATAGAATATAGAAGATGCCAGATAATTCACTGCACATTTCCCAAATGATTTTGGGTAGAAAAAGAGTTTCTGTGTTTTCCCAACTGCTTTGCTTTTTTTGAAATAGATATTCACATGAGGGTGGGTGGAGAAAGTTAGATGAGAATTTGCTAAAGCTCAGTTAATCATTTAGTAAAGCAGTCCCTGGCTTGCCAAACTCATAAATCTCATTAAGAGGGAAGGAAGGCTGTGGTGCATTTTTAGCTGAAAGCACTGTGTTTAGTAAGCAGCATACTTTGTTCACAAGGGAAAGATTTAAATATTCATTGTGTCACTCTTTTGTCCCTGAAGCTGCAGTAACATGATGAGTCACCTGATCGATCAGCTCACGTCACAAGCTGGCTTTGGCCACAGGCTGCATGGGGTCAGGCATAGAGTTGCCAGATGAAGGTCTCACCTGGACCCATTTGTTCAAGGTGCTTGTCAAGTGTCTTGCATTCAGATACAACCTGGGAAGCACAGGTCTCTGGAGAGGAAAGAATAAGACATCACTGCTTGGTTCACCTTGGGAAGCAAGTGGTGACATTTTCTTAGTGCCATGTAGCCCCCATGTTTCTGCCCCTCTAGTCCCTGGGAAAAGGAGTTACCTCTCTACCTGTTCCTTGGGAAAGTGGAGGAGCTGCCTAATGCTACTGCCTCTCCTGTGGCAGCATCTTGTTGGGACCTCACCTGTGTTTTGTGGTACTCTGGAGATCACCCACACTTAACGGTGTTTGGATTCAGGTCCAGGCACTTCTGGCAGAAGTAATGACATCTCCTGTGTTGCTTTCACATGGCGTAAGTACGATGTGGGTAGTGTAATGCATCCCTCTGCAAACGCCATAGCACCCTTCTGCACTGTAAGCCTTCACACAGCAGTCCCCAGGATCAAATCCTGCCTAGATCGCTAAGTCTTTGTTATTATCAGTGACTGTCTTGCCTCTCTGCAATGTGCTTTCCACTAGGTTCTTTCCATACTGTGTTTTTATCCCCTGACTTCATTGTGATTTTTGGTTTGGACTCTGATAATTTGTTGAAATGAATATTCATTCTTGGTCCAGCCTCTTCACTTTCCTTTGATTTTGACTTCTGATCATGAATCTCTTTCTTGCTTTTACTTTTCAGGTCTGTGGCTGTCTCCAACTTGATCTTGTCCCTTCATGCTGGCTGTTATACCATTGATACATATATGGCTCTCTCTCTGCTTTAAGCTCCAGTACTTGAGTCTACTTTTTTTTTTTTCCCCATCCCAAAGATATCTCCTGTCATATCATTTTCTTTTGCCAACTTCCATCTCCTTTTCATCCCTGCTTTCTGGAGTGGGTGGTTTATTTTTGCTGACTCTATTTCCTCTCCTCTCTACATCATTTCTTAATTTGCAACCTGGCTCCAGCCCTTCAGAGACAGCCCTTCCAGGGCCCTTCTTCAGCTTCTTCCAGCTGAACATAAGCTTCTTGGTTAAACATGACATTCCATGATTGTCACCCTGCCTATCCTTCTGCTTCCTATACTTAACCTGATACTTTATACTTACTCTTCTTTCTCTGCTTTTGCCCTTCTCTGCTTCTGTTTCCCAACATCAGGAATGTTTTTTTTGTCCTGTCTTTCGATTCCTCCCTTAGCTTCCCCTAAAGTCCATAAGTCCCTCTTCATGTTGCGTAAACACATTCTTCTGCTTTATTCTCTTGCATGTTTCCTTGTGTCTTGTCCCCTTTTTCGCTGTGCACTGCTCTGGGCCCTGGGATGTGGGTAATTGCATGTAGGGAGCTGCCATCATAATTTCCTGTACTGAAACTGGATCCCATTTCTCGTATGAACCTCCACCATCAGGTACTGCTGCCCCTCAGCTGCAGAAAACACCTCTGGTTAGAAACTTCCTCTTAGTTGCTCTCTCCTTGCCCCTGGCCTGGGCTGTTTCACAGGCTGCACATCCCTGCCTGGGGAAGTGTCAGAATGTATTCCAGCATGTGTAAGTGCTCTCAGTCATTGCTGTGCAGCACAAGGAGAAGGGAAGCAATGCAGGACATGCATGCGAGGTTTTGGCCATTCCTCTGTAGGTGGATGAAGTACCTCATTCTCCTGAGAGCTCTATGCTGGCATTGCTCTTGGCTTTTCTCTAAGCTACACAAGGATGTAGGAGCATTCCCATGCGTCTTCTCCAAGGCTTAAATATGTCAGCTCTGGGCAGCAGCTCTCCTGTAGCTGGTAGATAAAGATTGGGTTTTGAGATCCATCTCCTCCCTGGGAATATGACAAACTTCAGTGTTTGGGCCATTTTTCTCTGCATCTCCCACATAGAGCAGTTTCTCTCAGTGCTATACGCCAGGCCTGGCAGGAGCTGTGTGATTCTGGATCCACTCCTTCATGCACTTCTAGAGTTTGGCAGAGCAAGCACCACCAGCTGGGCACCAGTGCACCACGGGCTGGGCCAGGCACTGCATGCTGCCTGACTTTCAGAGAGGAGCTATGATGCCACCAGAATTGTGAGGGGGCTCACTTATTCTGCATTGGGATTGCTGTGAACTCAGGATCTGGCCCCTTGGCAGACCTGCTGTAGAAGCAAAGTGTGGTCATCCCTAAAACACCTCTTCCTTGTCTGTGTACCTGCCACAGAAGCCATGAGTCGTCATGCCACTGGGCTAGGTTATCTATAAAGCATAAAGATATTACATTTGAGTGTTTAGCCCCATCGTGCTGTATTTTTCCCTGTGGCTGTAGGCTATGAAAAAAGCAAACTTCTGCTGCCAATACCTATGCTTGAGGAGTTATCGCACCCTAGCACCTGAAACAGATGGATAGTTTAATTTTATGTACGTGGGGAAAATGGTGCTATGATAAAATGCAGTAGCTTCCTGTTCGGGTAATGCCAAGGCATATGACTCTCATGCTTTTGTCTTTTAGCTGAAGTGGAAGGCTTGCAGGTTACCATGCCTGAGAAGAAGAAGGTGGCCATGTTGTTTCAGCCTGCTCTGCTTCGCTGCCATTTCTCCACTTCTTCTACCCAACCAGCTGTCGTGCAGTGGAGGTTTAAATCGTACTGCCAGGACCGAGTGGGAGAAGCTTTGGGGATGGCGACTTCTGGTTTACAAACGATGAGCAAGAGGAACCTGGACTGGGATCCCTATTTGGACTGTGTGGACAGCAGGAGGACAGTCCGAGTTGTGGCTTCCAAACAAGGATCTGCTGTGACTATAGGGGACTTCTATAAGGAAAGAGACATCAGCATTGTCCACGGTAACTCTTCCACCCCAGTGATGCTTGTTGCGGGTTAGAACGGACCCTTGGCAATTTGGGATACTGGAAGCTGGCAGTAAAATTGTTCAATTCACTCCCTTAGAAAAGCCTGCTGGATGTCAGACATTTAGGATATAGCCAACCAATCCTAGACCCAAAGTTAATTTCCTTTGGTGCATCCCTTCATATAACTTCATGTAGCTCTCCAGCCCTCACACAGTATTCTTTTCCCTTTGAAGAACAGGTTTTTATTTCTGGCTTCTGCATATTGGTCTCTGCATAGATTTTACGTAACAAAGCAGCACCAGCAAGAAAGGTATAGGTTCAGTCTCCATGCACTAGGTTTCTCTTCCTTGCAAACTTCACTGATTTTTTTAACCAGTTCCGAAATACCGAAGTTATTCTACATCTCGTGTTTGCTCAACTCTGGACTTCACTAGCTTATGCTGTCATGAACCTAAACCCATGCAACCTTCAGCAGTGTGAAAGGAAGAGTTTTTCATGGGGTGAAGTCAGGTTGGGTGGACATGCGGGCTGCAGGGTCCTTTAAACATTTGGTCTCGAAGGATGTGTGGGAAACCTTGTCCCTCAAAAGCACAAGGCTTCTGCTTGGCTTGGGAGACCACCAAGCCCAAAGTAGAGGCTCCCTCGTGTGGAGAGTATGTGATCAGCCTCAGCAAGTGGGAGTGTTTTCCTTTGTCTCTGTGTAACCTCTTCAGCAGATGACTGAAGTGCTGTGGAGGAGATACTGTCTAAGCACTTCTTGCATGGCAAGAATACTGTTGGATCCCAAGCTCAAGTATCAGGAAGGACAGAGAGTGACACTGATTACCCCTTATGCTCTTTGGACTTGCAGAGTGAGCTGTCTCTTGTGGCATTACCTGTCTTCTCCAGCCACAGAGCCTGTTGTTTTTTTTTCCTGAGTACTGTGATATTCTGGATAAAGTTAACCCCCCTTCTTAGTAAGGAAATGAAATGGATTTGGGGCACAGAGATGGACCCAGTGCGTTCAACACTTCACTCTTCCCATAGGTGTTGGAAGGAAAGCCTGACTTTTCTTTTTTGCCTTTCAGATGCAGACCTTCAAATTGGAAAGTTGATGTGGGGAGACAGTGGGCTCTATTACTGCCTTATTATCACACCGGATGATGTGGAGGGCAAGAATGAAGAATCGGTGGAACTGCTTGTGCTTGGTAAACCTTCTTGTCAGGTTGCTTTTTCAGTACATAGGTGATATATCTTTCCTTCTGCACTCTTGCTCTCTTTACATATCTGTGCACCATATTACTCTGGGTGTAAGATCTATGTAAAACAGTACTTTCACCATTGCCTTGCACCCTGTGCAGTCATTCACACCTAGACAAAGAGGGTGGCAAATGCTACCAAACCAGAATAGTAATGTTTACACCCACCTTGCTAACACATTACACTGGCATAAATGACTACAGCAAAGTGCAGGGCTGTGGAAAATCAGAACCCTTGTTCTTAAGGCATAAAACAATAAACTTGCAGCAAAGTGAACACTTGATTCAGAGTCTCTTAGAAATAGACACCCAAAAGATATAAAATTGTATGCTTTTTGCAGTCTTTTAACATTTCCTTCGCCCTTTCTGCTGACCTGTGAGGATGTCAAGAAGCACTGTGTTTTATCTGCTTGAGTGTGTCAATATGGGAGATTTTTGTCTTTCCATAATTATACTTGTTCAATTAGAGGTGCAGTTTCACAGCCACCTTAATCAGGTCTAAGCTGGTGCTGCCACTAAAAGGACCTGTTCTCCTTGCTGCATGCTTGGCCCTGTTTTTGTTAAGATCCCTTGAGCAGTATGGTGAGCAGGATCAGTTTCTTTCCTGTTTGCAGGGTTAGCTTTCAGTGATAGCTTCCACAGTTCATCTCACTGTAAAGGTCGGAAAAGCACTCATTCCCACTAGGGCAGAAAAGAGGAGTGGAATGGGCCTTTCAGGGACATTGGTTGACACTTGGGTGAGCCAGCTTTAGTACTTTGCCCCTTAGACTGCCCCAGAAGAGTAAGATGAGTTTTTCCAAAACTTACCTTAAAACCTGCTGACACCACCGTTTGCTTGCATGGTTCTTGAGTCTACAGATCCTGTCGATCTGTGAAGGAAAAAGCTTGGATCTATGGTGTCTAGGTGATACCTAAAGGCATACTACAGAACATGTCTGTCAAGTGCCCCTACTCTCCTGGCTAGGGTCAGAGTTTAATTGGCATTTATGCTTGGAGCTGTAGTTGTCATCTCAAAGTAAACCAGATGGAATGGGTGAGTGACTATGACAGTACCATCCTTACTCCTTCAGATGTCAGTCAAGCTGTGGACAGCTGGAGAATGGATCCCTCCAGAAAAGTGTCACAGCCCTGTCTAAATCCCCAGTGTGACTGTGTATCATATGCTAGCTAATAACAGGCCCAAGACTGAACTGTGTTAGTTCAGGTGATGTTCTGTCTACCAGGTGGCAGTTGTAGCTGTTCCGTAGCATCTCCAGAGGAGCTGTCTGTGACTGTGTGGTGATGGCTGCTGAATTTAGTCCCTTCTTCACCTTCCTGTACAGGATTTGGTGTCTTCCTCTTCTGTGTGTCTACACTCTGCTCAGATATCAGTGATGAAACAATGCCATGGTAACAGGAAGAATCTGTTTTTCAGTGTGTACAGAAGACTATGTGGGAGGGAAAATAAAGACGTCCTCTCCTCTCCTTGATGATGTCACTGGCCCCAGTTTGCTGTAGTTACAGTGGGAGGAAACACGTAGCTTAGGCTGTAGCTTGACCACATCTGTTTTTCTGTTCAGCCTGTGGGTCTGACCCTGTGCTTTTTGCAGCACTCTCCCAAGTTTGGCAGCAGCATGAAAGGATACTTTGTTCTGCCTCATGCTGCTTGGTGCAGCTTGTGTGTCTTCCTTTTCCTGGGTAGTGTGTATGGAGGCAATATTCCAGCTTTCAGAGTGATTCCAGGTTACCTACCCATTTTCATCCCCTCCTTCATCCCTCCCTTCCCGTTCCCACCTTAATCTTTCCCGCTTCCCTTTTCCCTTTGCTCTTATTTTTTTTCTTTCTTTTCATTTACCTCTCCCCATTGATGGCTAATGGAGGAAGCAGCCAGTGGTGAAAATACCATTTCTTAACATTCTGGCATCTTCTGGGACATTTTTTTATTCCATCCAACTGCTTTGAGGGAGGCAGTGAGTACAGATGAAGATTGGAGCAATTCTACAGTCCTAAGGGACATGTGGTAAAAGGGTTTTGTTTGATGTTTTGCTGTTTGCTGCTCTTTCAGTGAACCCAGACTCCCTGTTAGAGCAGTTGGAGCAGTGGAAGGATAGTGTCTGCAAAATACACTGCAAGATACAACAGTTCTCACAGCACATTGCTGTTTGTTCCCTGCTGACAGTGGTCTTTCAAATATAATTGACATTGCTTGTTTTGGAGCTACTGCATGACTTAAGCATAAATTAGAACATTGAAAAGAGCAGAGGTTCATGCTATCAATGGGGGAAGACAGGAAAATCAGAACAGAAAAGGAAATAGGAAAGCATCCCTTCTAGTAGTTTCATATTAATTCCAAGTTGAAAGGTGTGTTTAGGTTAGAAAAGATCCTGTTGGACAGGGCAGTTTAGTATAGTGTATTAGAAACCTTGAAAGGTCTGAGAAGCAAAAATGGTGGATACCTATAGCATGAACAAATTAGAGGAAATCTCCTTACCTAGAAGTGGAGGATCCTGCTTTATACAGTGAATTACAGTGGTAAAATTGATCAAAAGTCGCTTTATTCACAACTTGAGGCAAAATCTAAAACACAAAAAAATTACAGTATTCTTTTTCCCTGAGGGAAGCAATCACAGATTTCCAGTGCAGTCTTTAGTGTCCTTCACTTAAGTCGGCCTGGGTCACGATGGGATTGCATGTTGAGTTTTATCACCTGGGTATGTGGTGTTGACATGCAAAGCAGATGGACAAAATCAGAGAATCCCATGTGCTGTCTTCCTTTCAGGCCTATTTCAGAAAAGCATATAAGCATTTATTTATATCCATTTGTGCACAGCAAGGCTGATAGGATTTATAAGGCATACCTGATGTTAAGCATGTGCTTATGTATTTTGCTGAAAGGACCATTCAGTAGGTTTTGCTTAGTCAGGGATTTTAACCCTCTCTAATGGAATCAGTGAAGGCAAGGGAAGAGGGGTGGTAACCTCTGTGTCTCAGAAGCACAGAAGGAGGTTGGCTGGTAGTGAGCCTCCTGCAGAGTGAGGAAAAAATTAAACTAAAAATTGTTATCATGCTTTTATAAAATAGTTGTATTTTAGTGGTATTTGGAATCTCCAAACAGGGTCTAGCATGACTGATAAGAACTGTGCTTCTGCTGCAGCAGTACTAGACTAGTACAGAGCTTAACAGCTCCACAGCAAGAGTCAAGTGATGCTCAATTGAATCAAAAAGGCCAAATCTTATTTTGAAGGAAGTCTGCATTTCCACCTTAGTAGCTAGCAGCTGTGTGTCCTGCTTCTTGAAGCACAGTGCTATTAATCAAGTTGTTTTCACAGCCCCTGTGTTACTGCTTTTTATCTGAGAATGTCAGTGAGCTTCAGTAAAATTGTTCATTGCAGCTTTTGTTGAAGGGAACTGCAAGGGTACCAGTGCAGTGGATGCTGTGTGCCTGGAGTAACCTCAGAATCAGAAGTACAGGTCAGTGGATACCCCATCCTAGCTTCATGTGACCCAGCTCACGTCAGGAAGCAGACTATCTTACTTGCATGGGATTGTATGTAACCCAGTAAGCCTTCCTGAGGGTCAGAATGTACTAATCAGGTGAGGGTCCTGTGAAAGGAGCTATACTGCTCCTTCACAAGCTGGTACAGCTACATGGCAGTGGCTGTTAGGGATAGGTAGGCGCAGCTGACTATCCTGAAATGCATAGGTCCGTGCAGGGTTGGCATTATGAGATTTTACGCAGCTTAGGCATGCGTCATGGAACAGGCTTCATTCCCAAGGATATGTCGAATTCCTGGAAGAGGCAGGAAACTGATCTGCTAATCCCAGTTGTCAGTTTGATACTTTGGTTAGGGATCCACTTGCTTTGCTAGATGGCTATTGCCTGCTTGTGTTTTCCATCCAATTTGGCAGCTAATACTACATAAATTATATATTAGTGAAATATTATTTGATAATTAATCTTTTAGAAGCTTCAGCTTCTGCCTTTGTTAGGCTTTAAATAACAGCAGTTAGCACTTGAGGCTTTTGTTAATTTCTGAAGTCAGCTAGCACTTAGCCTTGGTAAACTCACATCTTTGGTAGTTTGTATTACCAGCCAATATCCATGAAGGCTAAACCCAAAATCTATTAAGTCTAACACCCATAGGTAAGAAATAATGTAGATATATACACAGCATATTGCATAGTAATTAATGTACTAATAGAGACGTGTGTTGACTTTCAGAGAGGATACATCTCTATTAGGATGTGTGTGTATGGTGTGCAGTGCTAATAAGGCAGTTCTTACTCAGCAAAGTGACTCAATAGCTGGCATAAAAATAGCCAGATTTGGAGTCTCTTGTGTGCCAGGAGAGTCTGTAATATAAAAGTTTCGGAGACAGAGAAGTCCTTGGCAGAATTTTCCCTTACAAGAGGTTGGTTTTAGGATTTTGCTCTGTTTTACTGAAAAGCTGCCAGTAGCATCTCAGCCAGTACCTGGTCACAGCAGTTGGCAGGGATGTCAGTCCTGTTGGCCATGTGTTGGGGATGAGAGGAACAGATCTGGGCCAGCTAGGTGTCTGTAAGCAACTTCACACTGAGGTCTCTCCAACCTTGGGCTGTGCCTTTGTCACCAAGGGCAGGTAGTGCCAGCAAGTGATGGAAGTGGCATGAGAGCCCTCCATTTAAAAATCCAGGAAAGGCTTTTGTGTCCTCCCAGCCCCAAACCGAAATCCTGTCCTCACTGGGCGCCGCTGCCCTGCTCAGGGCCACTGTGCTGCTGGTTTTGTAACCCAGGCCCAATCCCCCTTGTCCTGGCCCAGCCTATTCCTAGTTATTTATTTCACACCATTTAGGAGTGCTACTTGTTGCCAAGGTTTTTTACCCCTCTTTTCCTCCTTACTTGCCAGCTGCTCACAAAGGAGGCTGGCATGATTAAAAGACCTCCATTACCAAGGTAGCCATGGCAACAGCCTCCTCGGAGGTCTTTGTTGCCTGCTAAAACTTTGATCTCCACGACGGGCTGCTGCTGTTTCTCCCTCCAAATGAAGAGAAGGATGGGAAGAAAGGATAAAGTTTACTCCAAGCAGAGGGAGCACAGAGGAACTCATTGCAGAGCCGTGCTCTCCCAGTAAATCTCACAGCAGCTTCTGTGAAAAAGTATCTGAGTTACAAGGGCCGCGCTATCTCTGATGTGCTTTCCAGCCTCCCCTCAGGGCAGCGTCCTGTGCTGGGGCCTCTTGCTGTGGCACAGCTGGCTTTTCCACCACTGAGGAAGAAATAGTTCCCTTTATAGCTGCTGCCTCCTGAGGTCCCAGTGCTGCTGGTAGGAGCTGTGGAGGCAGCCCTGGGTAGAGAACCCAATTCAGCAGTTACTCCCATATCGACCCAGTATTTATCCCATTTATGCAATTGCCAGTGTTCACCATGTTCCTGTATTTGCCCAGTTGCTGTGTTCCTGACTGCACCTGTGCCACCTTTATTCATGCCATCATTTTTTTTTTCAGCTGCACCACTTACTTACCCTGATTATTTTTCTGTCTCTTCTTTGCAGACTTTTTGCTAATTTCTGCTTGACTCCAGGTCCTCCCTTCATCTGCTGCTATTTGCTTCTCACTCTCTCACCCGCCCACCTCCTGCGTATTAATTCCTGTCCTCAGCTGCCTGTTCTGTATCCCTGCACCACCTGACGGTGCTCTGCACCCCCATAGCTTTTCCTTTCCCATTCCTCTTCCAGCCCTCTGCTGCTGCTCTCTGCCAGGGCAGACTGAGGGCTTGCAGTCTCCCTTGAACTTCAAGGCTGGCCAGGGCCTGGGGTGTGCTTTGGGTGCCCAGTGAGAGGCCACTGTGAATGGGTAAAGCCCCAGAGCGGCATGGTAGGAATAGAAATGGGAACATGTCCCAGATCCATAATGGAATGAGGAAAAGCCTGTAGTGCTAACAGAGCTGCCCAGGACAGCTCTGGTAAATGGAGCCATTGTCTATTCTGTCTTTCTCCTGGGGGGTGTGACAGCTCTCACAGAGGAAATGTAGCCCTTGCAGGTGGGAGCACAGAGCTGCAGCCTATGCCCAGCCATGTCTTGGGGTGCCTGCAGTCGTCTTTCTCAGGTGGGCAGGGCTGCTGTGCTGAGGTGGTGTGGTGAGGTGGTCTCTTGGCATGACATTTTCCTAACTTGTTTTCTCCCACCAAATGCTGTCTAGCCTCAGCCCTTCACCTTAAAAAGTTTCCTTAAGAGAAAATAAAACAACCAAAAGAAAAGTCTGGTGAGCTTAATGCCCATGCAGAGAGCAGCCTGAGTATGGAGAGCCACTGGTAGGACGCTGGCTGTGGGCACTTGCTGGCATTTCAGCCATGGCTCCAGGAGGTGGCCTTGCTCACTGAAACCCTGCCCTCTGCCACAGCTTCAGGCACTGTGTGACCCACCATGGTGCCATGCTCTGCTCCACTCCACTGGCTACTGCCTGGCTTTGGGGTGTGCCATGCCCAGGACGGGCTTGCACAGGGCAGCAGCAATTCTTATCTCCCCCAGAGCTGCCCTGCCCCTGCTGTGGGCAGACTGGGTGCTTTTGCTCCACTTGTTGCTGGCAGCAGCAGTGGCAGGGAAGGCGCTTTCAATGAGTGTCACCGTTGGGAAGCCTTCTGTTGCTGTGACAACCACAGGGTAGCCATGGCAGAGCGTGTGCAGCCTGTCTTGGCTTTACCCGCTAAGGGTGTGGGGAAGGTTAGTGAATTAATTGGGGCCAGGATGGGGAGGGGGAGAGCTGGGGTGTGTTGAAAGCTGCTGGGGGCTTGCCAGTGCAGGGGCAGGCTTTGTGCTTGCTGGCTGTTGGCTGGGCTAGTCAAGGTGTCAGAGTACAGGCTGAGCCATGGTGGGGTTTATTCTTGCCAAAGGCCCTTCTGGGCTTTGTGCATCCCCTGCAAGTGGATCTGGGCCCCCCAGTGTTGTGTGAGCACCTCTGATGGGGCAGGGGGAGCAAATTCCCCAAGCAGATGCACAGCAGAGCTGAGTGAGGCTGCACAAGCTGGGAAATACTTGGCTGCTCTAGGGTACCACAGAGGAGCTACTTTGGATGTCTTTGTAATGAGTTACCAAGTTCTCAAGCACTGTTATTTTTGAGGGATGCTTCTTCACCCTTGAACATGGGGTTCCTAAGATCCAGCACTAGCAAGGATTAAAGCTTTCCGGGTAAGTTCAGAATAAAGCAGGCACTTAATTGGACTCATGAGCTAGGGCTTCTGCTCTTTATAGGTGTCACTCCCTTACCTTCCGTACCACAAATCCCAGCCCCAAATTAGCGATGTACCTCTAGCTATTTATCCACTGGCATCTGCCTTCAGGAGAGAGCTGCATGTGAGTTTGTCTGGAGATAATAACAGGTTGGAGTCAAGCTATGTGCTTTGTGTCTGCATGAGTGTGGTTCGTGTGTACACTGTTTACATGTACACAGAGGCCTATGAAGAATTGCCTGTTTGTGCATGCTTGGAAAGTAAGGAATATATTTAATGTATGCATGTAATATAATTTAAATCTAGGATTTTGTGACGCAAGGCATACATTTGGTGCATGTGTTTGGAGCCCGCTTGTGGCACCTGAGACTTAAGCCACGTGTGTACATGCCTGTATCTCGAGGGCAGGAAGCATATGTAAGCATTTTCCCAAGCTGGTTATGAGCAGTTTGGACACTTGATGTTTCCAGAAAATGGACTGCAAAGAATGTCATGAAACTCTTCATATATGTAGATAAAAATGTTGTAGTAGACTGATGGCAAGAGTCCTCCTTCAAAGTAGTAAATGAGGAACAATTATCTCAAGGATCACCATTGTATCTTTTGGTAAGGCTTCGGGAACACCTTATCATGATGGTGTTACTGTGAGAACTGGACAGATTCGATGAGTTGCAAGCAGTTGCAGAGCACTCCCTGCATTCAGAGCATGTTTATTATGGTTCCAGTGGACATCCTTGTGGATTTTTGATCTCTACAGAAGCTCTGCTGAAGCACTGAGTTAAAAAAGGACAGCAGGAATTTGATTATAGTGTGCTTCAAGGACAGACTATATGCCAAGGAGCTTGGGATCCAGTTCATCATTGTGTCTGAGTGCTGCTTAGTGCAGGACCTGGAGGAAGGTAGCACTTGACCACTTTTGCACTGGCTTACCCATAGCTGCTTCTGTTATATCCACAATGTATGTCTCTCTTAAAAGTGCAGTTCTCCTACCTTTTGCATAGCTTTATAAAAACTTAGCATGATCCTGATGCTGTATGTGCTATATATGCACATAGGGTTGTTCTGCTGATACACACCTGAACACTGTGCAGGACATTTGCTGTATGTTAGAAATATCCCAGACATACAGTGCCAAAAGAAACAGGCACCAAGCTGCCTTTGTGCTTGCACTTTGTTTGTATTCAGTTATAAATTAATTTTTTTTTTCTCATTTTGCAAAGCAATTCCACAAATTTCTACATGGATCCTTCCCTAGTTGGTTTGCTTCGCTTGTGGCGTGGTTTAAGCCAAGCCAGTAACTCGGCGCCATGCAGCAGTAAAGCCTAAACACAGCATGGCACCAGCTACTAGGAAGGGGAAAAATAACTGCTGAACCCAGGACAGCTTGAGAGTTAACCTTATATCACACAATTTCACTAGGTTGCTTGTGCATCTTGAAATCAGTAGCACATACTCACATTCGTGCTTCAAGACCCCTTTCCTGGAGGTGTTTCTGCAGTTGCAGAGCCCTACATGGAGAGCACCACCCACAGGTGTTGTATGCATGTGGCTGAGTTGTCAAGAGCCTTGGGTTAAAGATGTTTCACACCCACCCAAACTGCATCAGTTCATTTTAAATGTAAACTAAAGCCTTTGGTTTGAGGGCTGTTGTGCATTTCCAGGAGCTTTTTGCATGTGTAGAACATAACTCCAGAAAGATGTTACCATGCAGTCGGGCTAAGGAGACCGACCTCTTCTTGTCATTTTGTGCCTAGATCGGAGAAGCTCTGTTTAAGATTCTTTTCCCCCAGCTCTGCTGATAAAGATAAAATGCAAGGACACAGAAATGGCAGAAACCAGGCATCAAGCGGGATGACATCTGTGATTGATAGGATGCACACTTAACAAAGTGCAAGTGGGATGATGAGGAAGGGAACTGGAGGCTAAGACAGGGGCTGGGGAGTGTATTTCTTGTGGTAACCTATCTCCTTGTTCTCCTCCTTCTGTCTTTTCTAGGCAGGACAGGGCTGCTTGCTGATCTCTTGCCCAGTTTTGCTGTGGAGATTATGCCAGGTATTCAATCATTTCACCCTTCAGTCACCCAGTCCTCTGTCATCTTGTCTGTTTATCCCTCTGCAGCATCTTTATGTGGTGTACATTTCACTCTTATTTGTGTTTTATCTGGGGAGAAAAAGATAAAAACTTACAGCTTACTGGGAAAATGTGTTGGGTTTAGATCTGAGGGAGCTGATGCTGGCACTTGGGGGAGGAATGCCCATGCTGGGATCCAACATACAGAGATGGCTGGTGTCATGCCAGGATCAGTGTGAGAGCAGAAATGCCAGGACAGTTGAGGAGAGGTTTTATATCAAGCTCTCTGCTCTCCCCTGCTAGCACAAGGGTAATGCTGCACCAGTCTGCAAGGTCTTGGCAGCCTTGTGTGCCTGTATGGTTTTGTACGTGAGCTGCTCCTGTGCAGTGGTACCTTCTGCTCCCCAGACCCTATCCTACAGGCACTGTTACAGCCATCACCACAGATGGTGGCACAGGAGGTGTAGAAATAGAACAACCCATCAGTGGCATAGCCCCTCTTGTGCTGCATGGCCAGAGCATCATCTAGGTAATACTAAGTGGTTGGACCACCCATGAAAGCTCTGTGGTCATGATAAATCCCTTGCTAGCCAAACTAATGAGGGCCACCAGTTCTGGTACTTTTTGCAGAGGAAACAGTGATTTTGCTTAAAAGGGAAATAATCTCTTTGAAGGGGAAAAGCTGTGAGAACGTTTAGCCCTTGAGTCATCAGATCATCCCCTGACAGTGCCCAGAGAGTGCTGCTTTCATGGGTTTGTGTAAAAATGCAACTCCATATAAATGTGTGAAGCTATTTTGAAGTCTGCCCCTAGATGCAAATGGAGAGAAAGCAGATGCTCACCCACCTCCAGTATAACCCAAAGCTCCCTGGAGTTTCAGCATGGCAGGAGAGGGATTGGTATTTCCAGCATAGGCAGAAGTTGATTATCTGTTGCCTAATACATTTTTTTTTCCTCCACTATTTACAATTTTATTGAATGGGTATGAAATTCATGCTATTGGCCAGGTAGCTTTCTGGTACTCTCACTGCATGGGTATAGACAACAAGAAAGTGGAAAAGGCAGCAGCAAAACAGCAAGGACACTTAGCATTTCAGCTTGATCATCATCTGAATCTCAAGGTTACACAGTTGTTTCTGGGGCTGGTCGGATCTCAGTTTTGTGCATGAAGAAGGAGCCGGCAGGCTCTTTTGCTGTTTTCTTAACTTCGCCAGAGAAGCCAATGATCTAATCTCCTGTGAAGCGAAATCCTTCCTGATTCATAGGTCCTTATGAGTGGGACACTTGATTTCAAACATCCACTGCAGTGCTGAGCAAGCATCTTGCAATGCACAGTGTACGTACTATCCTGACCTTTTGTACTCCTAGACTGTTTTCAGAGAGATCACAGTTACACTTACAATGGACTTGCTGTTTGTGTTTTTTCCTTTGCCAGGCTTTCATCCTTTATGGAGTGGTTGTGAACTGTTCACTAACAGATGTCTGAGCTTCATTGCATAGCTGCGGCTGGCCACTTCTGTCATGCGATACTATTTCACCACCTTCCTTGTATCAGTGATGGTTGTAGAGAACAAGATGAGAACATGACAAAAGAAAAAGCCACTGTACTGTTGCCCTGCTCAGATTGGTGTATATTAGGAAGTGCAGTACAGAATAATATGGCTCGCTATCTTGATTACTATCCTGAGTGTCATTAAATTTATCCTTTCCATAAGCTTAGCAACTTTAAGGGTACTTTGGATTTGGCATTGGATCACTTGTTTTGATGTGCTTCTTGTAGCTTCCACCTGCGTTACTTGTAGCCTGTTTATGCCCATTTATGTAAGACCTTTAATACCTGGTTTTCTTCCTGGTGTTCATCCTCCAAGCATATTAACAGGCATCAGCTACATCTGCTCTCAGCCCTCTTTTTAACAGACTAACACAGCAAGCTTCAGCTCTCCTGCTGCAAGGCAGGCTATCAAGTCACTTCATCCTCTCAAATCCCTGCTTTGCATCAGCTCCAGCCTGAATTCATCTTTTCTTGTCCAAAGAGCTGTATAATAACATCAGTAACTTCAGATGAAGTTACACGGAGGCCTTGTATGAAGGCATTAGTATTTCCTTAATGCTCCTGGAAATCCTCTTCTGTTGGGTGTAGGAGTACATTTGCTGTTTCTGTGGCTGTATTGCCTAAGTGGTTACAACTGTTCTGTGACAGACATTGGGTAATTTCTCTTGGTTTTTATTGTTTCCAACTAACAAACCCCTGTTTGGAACACAAATTGTTCTTAATCTTTGAACGTGTGACCTTGAAAGTATTGCTGTATAACTTCAGATTCAATATATTGCTGCATTTCATGTTTCTTATTGTAGGCCTAAGGACAGCTATCTCTCTAACATATCCCAATCTTCATCTCTAATGACAATGCTTCGCTACCACTTACCCTCAAGATACATTGATACATTCTTATTTTCTGTGTCAAAGTCATTCATGAAGATATTAAGATAGTACCTAGAACCATCACTGGAGGAACTGTATAAGTAATCTCCTCTCAGCTTTTACTTTTCCATTCATGAATGCTTCCTTCCAGCCATTTCCTTATTCATTAGCTGAACTTTTCTCAGTATTTAGTAATTTCACCCCAAAAAGTTACTCCACAAGGTCCAAAATTATCTGTAAGTTTAAATGAAATTCATCTGTTTCAGCCAAAAAAGAAATAAAATATTCAAAAAATATAAAACATTTCACTTGACATTTCTGAAGTATTTTGATTTGTGAATGCCAGATCTCTCACTGTCATTTTTTAAAGGGAATTTTAAGTTCTAGATTTAAAGTGACATTTAAAAAGGGGAGTTGTTTGTAAAGGAGTTAAGGAAAACTCCAACAAAGCAAAGAATTTTACTTTCATTCAAACAGAATGCTGTGGATTAATCAAAATTGACACGTTCTTATTTTTGCATTTTACTAAGACCTAGAAAAGGAATCTGGTTTGATTGTTCCAAGTGAAACATTTTTGCTTGGCTTTTCAGCTTAGCGACGCAGGTGAGAGGTGCACTGTTCTTCCAGCGTGATTCTGTACTCACATTGTAATCCTTGTATCAATACCTCTTCAGCTAACGATAATGTACCAGGAGACCCCTTAGGGAATGCTAGACGTCTGTTTGGTATCAGTGGTGTGCTGCTTTCTTCCCACTGGGGTGGGTATGGGGATAAGCCCTACCCCAGTTCAAGGCAGCCCCACTACTTCTTTCTTTGTTTTCTCACCATCTTTCCATGGTTGGTTTCTACCCTGGGTACACCTGGAGTTTTCACTACCAGCCCTCTGACTTCTAGATAGGTTTGTGCATCTCTCTAGTGAGCTTAAACCAACTCCAGGCCTCCTGTATGTTCCAAGTCTTGAAGTTCCTTTGCTAGGATGTGTTCACCAACCACTTTCCTAATCCATAGAGTTCCCACATGGCAGTAGGCACAGCTCTGTGCATGCCATCTCCTGCCAAGTGTGGCGGACAGCCATGTGCAGGGCTGGGAGCTGCCCCAGCAGCCTCATCTGCTCCCACTACAACTGCTGCCCCTTCCTATTCAACCCCATCCTGTTTTTTGTGGACCGGCTCTTCTGTAGTTTCACTCGTTGAATGTTTTTCAGCTGCTCCCTTTTGGGGCCTGGCAGATAACATCTGAGGCTTCAGCATGGTTGTTAGGTTTGCTGGCTGGCTGCAGCACCTGAATAGGATGTTCGTTTGGCACATTGAAAAGAATAATTGCCTGCGTGAGCCTAGTTGCGAAGGGGCAGGCGTGGCTCATTTACTGGCCTATTTATAGCATGCTTTGCACCAGCGTTTGTCCTTAAAACTAGGATGTGGGTAAGGAACAAACACACAAGCAGGGCATGAACATGGCAAGAAAGAATGAGGCTTTGACGAGATCCAAACACTAACGGATCTTGTTCATTAGTGTTTGTAGTGTTTTAGTAATGGAGCATATCCTGCAGCATTTGTACAGGTCTGCTGTGGGGTGAAGGGTTTCTCTGCTGCGGAAGAGCAGAGCTCCTACCTCCCAGCCAGCCAGAGACCTTGCAAAGGACCATTCTGTAGCTCCATTTCTCACTATAGTGTGCCATTTCTGCTTTGACACAGAGGAGGATGTAGTCCTAGACCCACAGGGAGTCAGCTTCTGTTATTCACCTATCTGTTTTGCACCTATGCTCTTCCGTGCCAGGATGTTGCTGACGTTCCCTCTCACAGCAATGTGCAACTCTGTAAGTATCTCTGTTTCTCCCCTTATTTTCCAGAGTGGGTCTTTGTGGGCCTGGTGATCCTGGGGGCATTCCTGTTCTTCCTCCTGGTGGGAATCTGCTGGTGCCAGTGCTGCCCACACAGCTGCTGCTGTTATGTCCGCTGCCCCTGCTGTCCCGAGTCCTGCTGCTGTCCCCGGGCCTGTGAGTGACCCTGTCCAAGCCTAGTGCAAAAATTCTCCTGTGCTACTTCTGCTCCCTGGCAGAACAGGAGAATCTGCTTAATATTACTTCCTTTGCCCTGAGCACTTTGCTTGACTAAAGAACTAGTTCTTAGGGAGAGAAGCATCTGACCTATTGCTTAATTGTTAAGCGCTCAAAGTTAATTATGAGTGTAATTCCCCAAGCCCTCTCTGCCTTGCCAGCTGTGCCTGTTTCTCCAAAGTGTCATGCTCCCCTTCCAGAGTTGTTGTCATGTCAGTGAATGTTGCAGGTCAGAGCCAGAAGTATCCTGGGAGGTTTCTTCACAGCAATGCAAAGCAGCTGCCCTCTACAAGAGTGCAAAATCCAAATGACCCAGCAAGGTTTCTGGTCAGGCTCAGGCAGATCTGTCAAGTTTCATGAGCCTCATCCCTGTTGTTTGAGTCGTCGGTTGTTTTTAAAGCTGAACTGCCACTAAATCATGGCAGTGGTCATGCCAGCTCTAACACCCTGAACTTTTTTCAATTGCTGGGCATCTTGCAGGGCTCATCTAACCTGCTGTGTGCATTTTTTAAACTTCCCTCAGTGCCTTTTGAGGCTTAGAGAGGTTCAGATTGGTCCTTGTTGTTTCATGTGTCCAGTTGTCTCCTGCTGGGCTGTCACCAGTGTTGGTGATGTGCAGGTTTCAGCCATATGCTGTGTGGGTCTGTGGTAGTCCAGTTGTCTCCTGCTGGGCTGTCACCAGTGTTGGTGATGTGCAGGTTTCAGCCATATGCTGTGTGGGTCTGTGGTAGGCCAGTGTGGTGCTGACTACTCTTCTTTTTCTTTTTCAGTGTATGTAGCAGGCAAAGCAGCAAAAGCTGGGTACCCTCCTCCAGTCTCTTCCATGCCAGGTGCATACTACATCCCCAGTGTTCCTGTGACTGGTGTCCCGTCTCCTGCTGTGCTGATGGATAAGTCACACCCTCCTCCCTTAGCCCCAGGTGACGCCAGTGGAGGAAGCCAAAATGGTAATTTGCAGTACAAGGCACAACATTCAGTCTTCTTACTGGGAGTGGGGCTGGGAAAAGGAGGAATGATTGTCATTGATAGAGCAGTGTAAACAGGAGAAACACGGAGAAACTGCATTTTAATCCTGGCTGTCATAATGACATCTGCATCTCTTAGGGCCACATGGTCCAACTTTTCTAGTGCCATCAGCACAGTGTCAGTTTGTGGGTGCCTAATTAGCTCAGCAGGGAATGGGAGGCTCAAGTTCGTGACTGGAACCCCTCTCATTACTACTGCAAACTTTACTTGTGGAGGACAGAAACAATTTCAGGGGAGCAGAGGCAGTGGCTGTTTTTTCCTTAGAGATGATCCTTTGCAGGCTGCTTTCTTTTGGTATGCTGTTCTTCCTACTCTGCTTACCCTCTGGCAGCAGATCTTGCTGCAGTGTGTTTTACTGTCCCCATGGCATTTTAGGCACAGGGATGTGATCCCTCAGTGTTTCTGCCTAAGAATATTTGCACTGGATCCCCTCCCCTGTTTTACAGAAGTCAGTAGGTCACTTTTTGTTCAGCCTTTGTATTTAGAAAATATGAGTGATAAAAGGCTTCTAACTAGAAAGGAGTTGTGGATCAATGTCAGACATAGAGTGTAAGTATGATGACTCTCTCGGTGAGGGTCACTTCTCATCAAGGAAAACGAGGGTAGCTGTTTAGCCACATGCTAGTTCCTTAACGCTAGCATTTCAGGATCAGAGTGGCTGTCTAAATTCAAACTTGCTGCAGCAGAAAGTGACTCTCACCAATGCAGTCACCATACTGACACAGTATGTTTGCCATTCATCCAGCCACATGCTTGGTTTCAAAGCACTCCAGTAATTGTAGTTTGTTAAATTTTCTCATGACAGTGTGATAAGACACTTCTGAAAAGACAAAATCAAGTAGCATAATCAAATAATTAAGCTTTTGGAACAACCCTATGTATTATATATACAGTATATGAACCTCCTGGAATTGCAAATAGTATTTTCCTCTAACAGTCATACTTTCCCCCCCCCCCCCCCCCGAAATCAAAACAGAGCTGTGGAATGGAGCATTTAGAAATAGGAAATAAGTCAATCACTGATACAAAGCACAGCATATCTAACTCAGAAACCTTTGTCAGAAGATGGTAAATGACAGCCCGGGGTTTTGTTTTTTTTTTTTGCCTGTGAAAAATGTCACTGCATGTAGAGTGTGGGGTTGGCCATGGAACTCCAGGGATTTTTTAAGTTGGATCACAGCCCGAGTCTTGTGTGTGCTGTACATTACTAGCAGAGCACAAATGCAGAATAAGAAACTGGATGTGTTTGGTAACCAAATGGAATGGCTTTCCGCATCCCGTTCCCATTAAGCAGGTAGATGCATTTATTATATAGTCCACATCAGCTGGCTGGGCTTTATCACTCAGCTCAGGACCTGACAGGAAATACTATGTATTGCAAAGAAAACCAGTATTATAAAGCTTTATCTATATAAAGCAAGACATCAGATATTCTTCAGCTTTTTATTTTTAATTAATAGTTTTTGCAATATTATGAACAAGCCCTTCTGGATCATGCACCTATTGTTTTAAGGTGTTCCTTGAGCTGTGGAGCTAAGGAAGGGTGATATGCTTCTTAAAGTCGTTTACAACGCCAGAATATCTCCTAATTACAGGCTGTAGGAGAGAAAGCTTTATGTGGCTTTTCCAAGCTATTTATTTGCTAGTTGGCCAGACAGGAAGCTAAACAAAACAGGTAATGATTTGGTTTATAATAAAGGCCTTTTCTCAGGAAGAGATTATGGTTTCTGTGTCCCCCACACAGCCAGTGTAGGTCTGATCTGAAATCTGGCATCTTTTGACACTTCAACCTTTCTGTCAAGTTTATTTAAAAAAAGGGGGTCAGAAGTGCTGGAGGGCAGAGACTGGATGATTCTCCAGTGCTGGCTGCCAGGCTACAAAGGACAGCCTTTTGCCCTAGATAGTTTCTGTGCTTACAAATGACCCCTTTGAGGTGATATAGTGAGCAAACATAGGCATGAGGATATTTAGAAGATTTGTCTAGGGTTACATAAAACCCATGTGACAAAGCTACAGTGAAGCCTAGGAACTCCATCCTAAATTTAGGGCTGAACAGGATAAAAAGAACCAAAAACTTTCACATTTCTTTAGAAGAGTGTTGGAAACACATATGGTAGGATGTATGCTCTGTCTATTTTAAATGCAGTAGTTACCTGAAGACTCTTGTGTAGATTCCTTAAAACATGCACACAGGGAAGCTTTTGATCCAAGAGGTGGCCTCCAGACCTTTCATATGGAAAGTGTATAAGGATGAGACATCATTTATTTCCTAATCACACTTGTCTGAAAAAAATAGCAATGCTGTCCTTTCTGGGGAGGGAAGCAGCTCACAATTTTGGCTGACTTGGTTCCACCGACAGAAGAATAAAGAAAGTGTCTAGTTAAACACAAATTAAACATTAGAAATTTATGAAGTGTTCAAGAGAAGAAAATATGGTCTAACAGGGAAAAATGTTCCATTCCCTTTGAATTCAGTGAATAGTTCTGGACAAGTGGTTAATATCTCTGCATCTTTATTCCCTTATAATTAAGATGGGCCTAAAAATATTCAGACCTTATTAAAGGGTTCTGACAATTTACAGGTGAAGAAAGAGGTTAGGAGGAAGCAATAATATCTTTGGTTCTCACATAAAGAAGTAATAAAGAGATTTGGGAAGTTGAACATTCAGTTGCGAAAAGTAATAAATAAACGTGGACACAAAATATCCTTCATCTGTCATAGAAATACTTTTTATGAGCTGTTCATGGTCATCTTTGCAGATTTAAATTCAGTTAATTACTAGATACTTAAAGAATTAACCAATAAATTTACTTGCCCTTGATACACAGCTGCAATAGCAAGTCAAGCATGAAGCCAGCATGAAACCTAGCTAATCAGAGAAGTCTCCATCAGTTCCAGGAGCTATAGATGCTGCCCCAGTAGATATCTGGCACAGCCTCAGCATGAGTAGTGTCTCTGGGGAGACAGAGTTTGGAAGTTGCCTGTTCAAGTTCCCAAAAGGTTGTTAGTAGGTCAGAGTAATTTCCAGCTGATGCTTGTTTGTACCCGTGGGTATAAATGAGGTGGCAGCCTAGGTGAGCTCCTAGTAGACACATTAGAGAAAGGATATTGGGAGATTCCCTTCCTAGCAAGGTACCAGACAGGTCAGCAGTGACGGTGATGTGCAATTGCTTGCACAGTGCAGCCGGAGTCATCACTTCTGAGGCTAGTCAGCCCAGCCCCTCTTCATAGCAGCAGCCTCACTCCCAAGAGACATGATGGCCTTCCACTTTGGAAGGCAGAGGCACGGTTCCTCGTGTTCTGTAAATCACTGCGTGCATTTGCAGTAATTGTGCACACATTTGTGGGGATAATAAAACATAGCAAAACTCAGACTGCTGTCAGCTAAGCTGCCTTGAGACACGTTGAAAGCAGGACCCCAATAGTCCCATATTATGTTTTAACATCTAATACCTTTCCCAAATACACATAGACAAGGTAATATTTCATGATGTAGTTACTTACCTTACATGTGCACAATCACAGTCCACGGTAATGCAATTTCCTCCTGAAGCAATTTGTGGGATTATTGCAGGAATCATTCCATCCATTTCATGGCACAGCCATTTCTGAAGCAGGGCATGGTTATTTAATAGCACACAGACACATGCACAGCAGTTTCGTACAGAAGGTGCCTAAAAATACCTCTGCCAAGTCCTTGTTCAGCCCACACAGTGCATACTATGCAATGTACCATCAAACCCATATGTTAGTAGCTTAAAGTATTGGAGTGTGGGATAAAACAGAAAAACCAGGTTGGTTCAAAACCACCATCCAAGTATTTAAATCGTGGCACAAGAGAAGGACTCGTACGACACTGCAGTATTCACACAAGGGAACATTATAACCCTATGCAAGGCAGACGGGCTCCATTTTGTAGTGCTAAGTGGATTGTCCTCAGTTTTTTAATGAGGCTGAATTTGAGGCTTGTAGTACTGGTTTGTACTTAGACCCTTGTTTCTGTCAGTCTTGAAATTGCCTCAGGCTGAGATTTTTCTTAAATAATCTGCTATAAAAGCCTTATTTTCTTCAAAATCCTGATAGGTGGGGTTCTGTGCTTGCTGACTATAGACCTGCCTTGAGATAGTCAGGCTTTTCATAGGATTAGCAGTCAAAGTGTGCATGGAGCCAGTCTGCTGGAGTAAGAGTGAGCTGCTGTGGCTCCAGGTGTGTAGGAGCTTCTTTTCTACACTCGGGAATCTGGGAAAATCAAAAGAGCTGCCCAGACTTCCCTGCAAATGGAGTAATATCAGGGGTCAAGTACTTAATGTATGTGTAAAACATACCTTTTCTATAAAATCAAGCATGTAAAGAACACCAGAGTAGGCAGCTTCAGTTACCCAGTGGTCTGGTTGGCCCCATCATTAGGTTCGGTAAGCATCTCAAAGCACTGTGATGTACTTTGTGGGACTTCCTGTGTTTCCTTCTGTATTCTCTGGAGCTTCTCCTACCACATGCACTTCAACCTGCGTGAGCAGAATTCATTGGGATGGGAGGAGTGGTCTGCCTAGTGACAGCTCCCAAATGCTCAGCCACCTGCTTCCCCAGCAGACTGAGAGCTTATAGCCCCTACTGCATAGAGGAAGCCTCATCTTCTGAAACTGCTTCTCCCATACTATGACGAATCCTTTCTGGAGTGCTGAGGAAGGGGAAGTGAGTGCTTTTCTTTCTGCCATCCTCTGTGGGGGCTGGAATCACGCTGTGGCAGTGACACCACTTGATGCATTTGGTTGTACAGATTGGGCATTTCCAAATCATTTTTGCTGTTACTGCAAACTTTATAAATGATGCAGCTGCTCACAGCTACACATCCCACGTTACAGACAGATTTCTTCTGAAGCAAAGACTGACTCAGTCTGTTTTGGAAGACTCAGCCTACCTGCCTGCAGGCATTAGCTCAACTGTAGAAGCAATATTGTCAGAAAGTCTCCTTGGACTTAAATGTGTTTTCCACTAATGCTTTTCTTTATTCTCTAGCAGTGTGCAAAGGGTACAGGATCCAGGCTGACAAGGAAAGGGACTCCATGAAGGTGCTTTACTATGTGGAGAAAGAACTGGCTCAGTTTGACCCAGCTAGGAGAACAATGCGGGAACGATGTGAGGAACAAGCATGGTTTGATTATTTGTTTTTCTCACTGACCTGAAAAAGTCTGCATACTCATAATTAAAAGTTCACTGGCTTTGCCAGGATATGATGTCCAGGATATGGTACTTGGGGCAGTTGAATAGATGCCTGAATAGATTTCAGGCATCTACAAGTCCAGTATCTGAAGGGGGGATGCTGGGGATGGACTATTCATTAGGGACTGTAGTGATAGGACAAGGGGTAACGGGTTAAAACTCAAACAGGGGAAGTTTAGATTGGATATAAGGAAGAAATTCTTTACTGTTAGGGTGGTGAGGCACTGGAATGGGTTGCCCAGGGAAGTTGTGAATGCTCCATCCCTGGTGGTGTTCAAGGTCAAGTTGGATAGAGCCTTGGGTGGCATGGTTTAGTGTGAGGTGTCCCTGCCCATGGCAGGGGGGTTGGAACTAGATGATCTTAAGGTCCTTTCCAACCCTAACTATTCTATGATTCTATGGTTCTATGTTCTGATTTTAAAGATTTGCTGCTTACCCAATCACCACAGAACAAATAAGGTGAGAGATACCAATATTCTCATAAAAATTGTCTACGTGGATAATTAAACTTTTGGATCATCAACATCTGCAATGCCTTCTACATCCTGTGGTGTGATAGATAATAGCTGGGATATTGTCTTCGCAATTTCTATATCCCTTACAGTGTGGTGACTATAAATTCCTAATATGACAAAATAAGAGACAGATGATTTTGTTAAAAGCATCTTTTCGTGGGTTGCAATAACCACGGTGTGGTTTGGAGGATGCAGAAAGGTAGTTTGGAGTGGCTGTTGCCCTTCAGAAGGAGCAGACACTACAAGAAAGATCCGAGAAACTAGGGGTTTATCAGATTTTGTGACACTGGTCAACATAAGATCAGAGGTGGCACACACATCAGTATGACAGCTTGGCAGTCGGACAGCTGCTGGTGAAGGGCAGGAGGGTGGTGAACAGGGACATGATACAAACTCAGAACTTCTGTGTGGAGCTCCTCCCTGTCTTCTGATAGCCTTTTGCAAGCTTTATTTCCCTAAAGAATGGCTGAGGCTGCACTGAATGGATGTCAGAATACAAACCCAAGTGAGGATCTTTCCACATTAGGAGGCAGAGATGCAGTGGTAGGACAAGGTGTCTGCATGAGGAGGGCTTGCAGTGCTGATTGTTATCCTCTAGCTGTTCCGTTGGAGGAACAGGCTGGGGGCTCAGTTCCCCTGGCAGCATCTGACTCATGCAGAGCTAACACACATTAGGCACTGGTAGCAGCTCATTTAAAACGTGTGAGATCCTGCAAATCAATGAAGGTGTGTTAGGGAATGACACTACATCAAAGCTCTGTACAGATTAGGCATAACTAACAAATTATATATACTTCTAAAACAGTCACTGCTGAACACACTGTATTCTCCACCCACAAGATCTACTATAAAAAGACCTCTCCAGATTGGTATGTCAGGCTTCCAAATGTCAATGTGCTTGACAGGGTACAGACTGACAGCGATTCAGACAGTCTCTTACTTTTTTGTTCATCTTCTTTTGAAGGGGTTGGTTTTCTTTTAGCTGGGCAAGTCAGGCCATATCCAGAGCCAGCCTGTTTCATACCAGGAGAGGAAGAGGTGGCACAACTGCACTGATGATATTCCACCAAGCTCAGTGCCCACCTCATGAGGCGGCACAGCTCTCATGTATTAGTGAAGCAGGGCTAAGGAGGGATTTATACATGAAGGTTGGACTGTTATCTGCAACACAGCCATCTGATGCGATGTGTGATGATCTTAAAATATCCCACCTGCCTGCCAGCTACCAATTTAGAAGACCTGTAGGTCTAACAGCAGCTCTGTGTCCAAACTGAGCCACAGGAATCTTGGGCAGGAACAGTCAAGGGTTTGGAGGAGGTCCTGGGATTCCATTTTGATTTCTTTCTAACAGAGGGCAGCTCACTTCTTTCTGAAAAAGCTGCATCTGGGCTTTCCGCAGCGTTCCTGTCCTGTCCTCCCCTCCCTTCTCGCACATGTTATCAGGTAATACCTATCTTACCTCTTTTCTGTAATATCCCCTACAGATAACAACACCATCTCTGAACTCAGCTCTTTGCATGAAGAGGACCTGAACTTCCGTCAGCCCTACCATCAGTCACGAAGGAAACCTCTGCCTCCTGCCGGGGACCTGGATGGCGATGCTGAATACTGGGCTGGAGTGATGGGTGGGGGCAGCACGTCCAGATCACAGGCTGTCTCTGATTACAGAGATGAGCGGGACACTTTCTGGCACAGGTAAGGAGCACCATGTTGGGAAGCAGCTATATCTGGCTAAGTAGAAAGGAGAAGGGACAGATAGACTGATAGCTCCTCTCAATTTCCTGCTGCTGTGGTTCTGCTCAGCAGGACAGAGGGTTAGAGAGAAACATGAAATCTGGAGATGTCACTAGATGAGGTCAGAATGAATCTGATTCCCACAAGCTGGCTGAAGCCTACCCAGCTGGGCAAAGCTACGTATCAACCCCATTCCAGTGGGACGTAAAAGTGAGATCAGTAGGAAACCAAACCACCCTTCCCAAAAATGCTTTCTTGAGATTTGTACCTGATCCTTCCAGCACTTCCTAGTGCTGATGCGCTGATTGGGAGTCACACCCTGGTGCTTTGGTGCAGCAGGACCTATATGCCAGGCCTGAAAGACTGGCACTCTGATGCCTAGCAGAGATACCACATCCTTACCTCACATACCAGAAGTCCAGTCTCTTGAACAAAGCATCAGGGATTTCCTTCCCTAAGTACTGGACTATTTTGCTAGTTTGGTTTCTTTAAACCTGCTTCAAAATCACTCTGCTGTGAGCTTCTGTAGTGGGGCTCTTGGGTTTTTGCAGCAGGACATACACCTACAAGCTTTTCGGCCAAGGAGAAACAAGTCTAGCCCTACATATTGGAGGACAAGGAGGTGCTCTCTAGGGTTAATCTTGGGTAACATTAGACATGCACAGTCGAAGCTATCCGCACCAAGCTGCTATGACAGTCAGCAGAGAGAAGCAGGGATTTTGAGGATGTGATGCATCTCTCCCTGCAGAAGATGATGAAAACAGGTCAGATGATTCATGCTCCAGGAACGCCTGTTTCTCTCCATTGCCTGTGAAGGCAGCTGATGAGATGAGCACAGCTGAATCCTGCCCTCTAACACTATCTCTTCCCTCCTCCAGCCAGCAGAGATCCAAGTCTGAGATGTTGTCCCGTAAGAGTTTCTCTGTGGGAGTGCCGGCTGTCTCCATGGACGAGCTGGCAGCCTTTGCAGAGTCCTACAGCCAGAGGATGCGGCGAGCAGACAGCCAGGAAACACGGCGCTTCGAGCGCTCGGAGTCGCATGGCGGCCGCAGCGGAGGGATGCCCCACCAGGATGGCTCCGTTGAAGAGTACTACACCAAGCGCAACAGAGGGAACCGGGAGCTGCTGACAGACTCAGATCAGGGCTGGTCATACAGCCCACCCCGGAGACGGGCCCATGAGGAGAAGCACCTGCCCAGGCTGGTGAGCCGGACGCCTGGAGGGAGCCAGAAATATGATCACTCCTACCTCAGCAGTGTGTTGGAGAGGAAATCTCGGAGCTACGATGAGAGCGGTGACCATAGTGAAACTCCCTCGAAGCTGAGCTCGCAGCCCAGCCAGAGAGGAGGGGGAACATACTATGCCTGGTCGCCACCCTCTACCTACAAAGCTGAGAAATCGCAGCAGCAGCCACAGCAGCCACCATCATCGCCTGAGCAGGAGGATGAGGAGGACACCCTGCCCCCATACAGTGAGAGGGAGCTGAGCCGAGGCCCTTCGTATAGGGCCAGGGAGCAGGCCTACCTCAATGCCTCTGACAAGAAGAGGAAGAAGGACCCCAAGAAAACAGTGAGGCCGTGTCTGGTGCTCATGATCCAAATAGGCTGAGCAGGGAGCCACCAGGCAGGAGTTTATGGGCAAGGGGTTCTGTAGTCTGAGTGTGGGGAATCCCAGTTGAGGGGCGTCACTGTGGGAAGCGGGCTGTCACTGTGGGTGTAGGAGCCCTACACAGGACTTCATGATGGAGGGGAGAGCCAGACTGCCTGAGTATGGGGAGGTAAGGGATGTTTTTGGCATCTAAGGCCTGGTGATCCAAGGAAGTGGGAGTTCATCTAGTGTTCAGGAGAATCATGGTAGGGAAGGGGACTTACCTGGGGTTTGCAGAAATCACAGGGCATTGCTTTGGCCTTGATCCTTATTAAGGAAGAGTTGAGAGCCTCTGTTGTTTTGGGCTGGGACAGGGCTAATAGCAAGGCATGGTGTAAGAGACCTCATCTTTCTGAAAGGGGTGAGATGGCAGACTCCTGTGGGTGCATACCCATGGACACACGTAGGGGCCATGCTTGCAGAAGGTGTTCCTTGCTCAGGATACCAGCAGGATATCTTGCCATAGCCCATGCTAGTGAGGACTGATGAGTTCATGGGTTTTGGGGAAGGGGAGCTGCCCAAAGTTTGCTCCATGAGTGAGACCTTGTCGCCAGAGCAGCTTGGCTGTTAGGCCTCAGCTTAAGTGATGTGTGAGAGAGGAAAGGGGTGTGAGAGGACAAAGCTGTTGCTCTTTTGTTGTGTCTCTGTCAAAGCTACGTCTGTCTCTTTGTGTTCCATGGGTGCTTTCCTGCTGACTTTAATCTTCTGTTTTTCCTCTCAGAACGATTTCCCAACAAGGATGTCCCTTGTGGTTTGAAGTTGTTGTGGACATGTCGTGTTGATGGGCTGGATACTATGAGGTGACTGCAATGGAAAAGAGAGAGAGCAGCAAGCAAGACAAGCCTCCCGTGAACCTGTGCAGTCATTGGCCATGGACTCTGTTTCTATTGTTTGTCTCATCAGGGGAGTAGAGCCTTTCACAAGAGACAGACTCCGATGAACAGTACTCGGTCTCAGAGGCTCTGTGAGTCTGCCAGGGATATGAGGCCAGGGCTGTCTTTGGCACCGTGTTTTCCAGTGCGCTCCATTTTGTGCTGGAAGGCAGCCACATCCCCACTGTCCCTGCAGCCCTGAACTACAAGTGAGGCTGCCTGTGTGCCTCTTGCCCTGTCCTGTGTGCAGAGAGAAGCCTTTGCGCTTAGCTCTTGCTCTCTCTGTCTCCTCAGTTCTCTGTTTGGATCAAAGTTGTCTCCATATTTGCAGTTGGAGCCTTTTCTGTATCATCCCTATGCCGGGAGGAAGCTTTGTTCTTACAGCTGCAGGCCGCCTCCAGCTTGTCTATATCGTGAAAGAAAATGTACATCCTTCCAGACACCATAGAAAAGGACTGGTGAGATGTTACTTTGGCAAGGGCTGAACAGATAGAGAGACAATTATGGGCTGGTTAGTTCAATATATTTAGTTCTGTTCATTGTGTGATGAAAGTTACAGGTGAGATTGATGTATTATTTTGAAAGTGGATCAAAGTAGCTTTTATTGTGAGAGCATGATGTGTTTTCCCCCCCACCCCCAACTTTGTTTTGTTTTGATACTGTTACATTTCTTTGCAGTCAAGCTATGACCTGTAAAGCTTCAAGCTAGAGTATCTACTCCACCATACCATAAGTAGTGCTCCAGCCTTGCTGGCATTCTGCTTCCAGCACCACCAGACATCTCTGCATAGCAAGCTTTTGTTTTAAAGGGCCTTTTTGTTTTAGAGAAGCTAAAAGGAGAAAGTCTCAGAGGGCAGCTGTCTCCATTCTGTCCTACCAGTATTACTCTTTTCTGGTCATTGTTCCCAGACACTGAAAAGAGTAGTAACACCAATGAAAAAAGAACTAACACTGTGGATGAACACAAGCTTTAAAAGTCACCTTTTTCACTTACAGCCATTTCATTTACCTCAGTTGTGACTGAGATGTTAGTGGCTGTTGTCTCAGGAACAGCTTAATTTCAAAGTGAAGTACTTCAAACTGGAAGCCTGAAGTTCTGATTTACATTCTGTATACTGCAGCCATTTCATTAATTTTTAGCTGCTGACACCGTAACGTGAAGGAAGATGATGGGAATATTTTAAGGTCCAGTATCTTGATCCCTATTATAGCTAGAAACAACTTAGTGCCCTACTGTGTTACAGACATTGTCAGCCTACGAAATGCCATTTCTGTTCTTACTGTGGAAATCTGGCGAGCTGTCTGGCCTCAGGTGCTCATTCTGGCAACACTGGTTTGAACACAAGATTTACTAACATCACCGCAATTCTCTATTAATTTCTGTATTACTCTGTTGCCAGATCAGTTCACCAGGGACAGTCAAGGGAAAGGAAGACTAATCTTCATAGAGTTGATGACAGCGCAGTCTTCGTGATGAAAAACTGGCTCGCTTGTCCTGTGCTCCTCTTTACATCCAGTTACAGTGATGTAATTGTGCATCCAATTACAGTGATGACTGTAATTTTGGAAATCCTAGTCCTGGGACTTGCAGGCCACAGGACTAGAAGTCCCCTCTAAATATAGATAGCTGCTGTATGGTCTCCCCAGAGCTGCCTTCTCTCCAGGCTGAACAAGCCCAACTCTCTCAACAAACCCACCTCCTGTCTCCATAGGAGAGGTGCTCCAGCCCTCTGATTGATTTCTTTGTGTCCTCTGACCTGCTCAGGCATGTCCATGTCTGCCTTATGTTGAGGACACCAGAACTGCACACAGTACTGCAGGTGGGGTCTCACAAGAGCAGAGTAGAAGGGGCAATTCACCTCCCTCTGCCTGGTGGTCACAGTCCTTTTGATGCAGCCCAGGACATGGTTGACTTTCTGGGCTGCAAGTGCATATTCATAGAATCATAGAATAGTTAGGGTTGGAAAGGACCTTAAGATCATCAAGTTCCAACCCCCCTGCCATGGGCAGAGACACCTCACACTAAACCATATCACCCAAGGCCTCATCCAACCTGGTCTTGAAAACTGCCAGGGATGGAGCATTCACAACCTCGCTGGGCAACCTATTCCAGTGCCTCACAACCCTAACAGGAAAGAATTTCCTTCTTATATCCAATCTAAACTATATTGCTGGTTCATGTCCAATTTTCATCCACTGGTACCCACAAGTCCTTCTCCATAGTGCTCCTCTCAATCCCTTCATCCCCCAGACTGCACTGATACAGGGGGTTGCCCTGACTGAGTTGCAGGCTATTGCACTTGTCTTTGTTGAACCTCATGAGGTTCACATGGGCTCATTCCTCAAGGCTGTCAGGCTTCCTCTGAATGGCATCCCTTCCCTGCAGTGAATCAGCTGCACTGCTCAGTGGGGTGTCACTTGTAGACTTGCTGAGGGTGCTCTTGGCTCCACTGTCAGTCATTAACAGAGACTGAACAGTACCGGTCTTAATACAGGTCACCCTTGAGGGACCTTGCTGTTGACTGCAACTCTCAGGGTGTAGCCATTCAGCCAATTCCCAATACATCAAATAATCCATTCATCAAACCCATCTTTCTCCAGTTTACAGACAAGGATATTGTATGGGACTGTGCCAGAAGTCAAGCTAGATGACATCAGTTGTTCTTTCCTTATCCACCATTGCAGTCACTCCATTGTAGAAGGCCTCCAGATAGTCGGGCACTATTTGTCCTTTGTGAAGGACTGTCTCTCATTGCCTCCCTGCCACCCACATGCCTTGACATAGCTTCCAGGAGGATCTGTTCTATGATTGTACTGGACATAGAGGTGAAGCTGATCAGTCTGTAGATTCCAGGGTCCTCCTTTCTGTCCTTTTTAAAAATGGGTGTGAAGTTTTTCCTTTTTCCAGGCACTGTGGGCCTGACCGCCTGGGAATGGCTTAGCAACTACATTTGCCAGTACATGCCAGATATATCTATTTGTATTTTGTCTGGAGAGACTAAATTTTAAGTATTTCATCTTTTCTCATCTTTGATACATGTTCCTAGGAGAATGTCAGCACAGTTAAAAAGAAGTGGTTGCCATCTGAGGTCTCCATGGCCTTGAGAAGCCTACAGGGCTACACTACACACTATATTATATTAAATTAAACACTTCATCCCAGACATATGATGATACTAGCAGCAAGAAATGATTGTGTTTTTTTTAGTCTGAAAACCTTGGGAACCCTATGCCATTAATTTCAAAGGAGCTTAGCGTGCTATCTTTTCCATCAGACATCCAGCAGACCCAGGAGACATTTTACACAGAAATTTGAAAGTGCATCTGCAACAATGACTGTGTCAGTCAGGGGCCAGAATGGTGATGTAGCAGTCTCTAAATATCTGTGTCTTTTAAATCACACTGAAATCCAGAGCGTCACAATCTCCTCATGTCAGTTATGTCTGTCCCTTATCTCAGTCACTGTAGTTTATTTGATCAAGCCCTCAGGAATGAGTTGTATTAAAAATACAAGCTTTCTCAGTTTTTGAATCAGTTTTATTTGCTCAGTGCTGGTACTTTAGGACATTGTGTACACTATGCTTTAGAAGTGGCCATTTATGTATTTAGCTTATAAATAAGTTGTTGGCAAGCTAATTCTCCTCAGAAAACTATTTTAGTTGTAGAACCAAGTGTTCATAAGAATTTTCTGACATTTCCTTTAAATCCAAGTACATGGAAAAGTATTGAAGATTTTGTGATGAGTTTTACCAGGTGGTAAAAATTTCAGCCTCAGAAAAAAAAAGGAGGTCTTAATTCCCTGAAGTCAGATGTGGGCAGCACCTATTAGTTGGCTGCACCTTGCTCTAACATCACGGATTTCTTATCTCTGCAAATCTGAAGGACTTTTCAGTTACTGATAGTGTCTCCTCAGGCCATCTGTTTTTCTCATTAGAAGTGCATCTGCAGCAGCACTGAATGGACCAAATAAAAAAGCTGAGGCAGAGCGGGGCTTCCACCTCTATAGCTATGCAACCCTAATGAGCTGTGTGACTTGCAGCAGAGGGGAGCCAGAGGGCCAGAGGCTGACAGAGAGCCTGAGAAGAGCCTCTTGTTTCAGACAAGAAGTGATGGTTTGTGCCTGTGCCATACGGTTCAGAACATCTGCAATAGTGCTGGCCCTGGAAGATAATGAGCCTGGTTATTATGGGGACTCAAATGATAAATTTTCCAGTGATAAATTTTTATTGCTGGCCTAAAATCAAACCCCTTTTTATACAGGATATGGGTGCCTGGGTCATGTCAAGGACATAAATGGTTTTGTGGCCTTAAAATGAAGCATCGCAACAGTGACTTGCTGCTAAGACAACTGAGATGATGAGTGAATCCCGTAAAGAAGAAAAAAAAAGAGCCCTTAGAGCAACAGCGGGATGAAGTATCAGCCTGAAGTTTGGCTGTGCTGTCAAAAGCGGGATCTGGCCTACTGAAAAAGTTTTGACATAATAGAATGGGAAGATAAATACCGATAGTAATGACTCCCCAGCAATCCCATTATTCCTTTTAAGTACATTGTAAAAATTCCAGTGTGTGGCTTCAGTGGAAAATTGACAAAACTATGAATCCTTCAAAATGTTGAGAAAATGCAGCATCTATTATCTGAGACAGCCAGCCAGAATTATTCAGGCCCTTGTGCTGGCATACAAATGTCATAGATGACTGAAACTGTAAGCGTCCCAGCCTTCGTTAGAACAATTAGGTCAGTGAGGGCCACCTCCCCTTCCCCCCTGGCAGCAGTGGGCGCCAAAATTCCCTGGGCCTCCTGCCTTGATGTCTGGATCTCCCATTGTAGCTCATTGAATTGGGGTTTTCAGTCTGGATTGTGACTTTGGGTGCCCGTTGCCCATGGATCAGCAGTTGCACACCCATTTCCTGACCTTTTACAACCACCCCCTTCTAAATGGGCAATACCAGTTCACCTGTAACGTAAGATAAATGGTTTTGCAATCACCAAAGAGGTTTTCATATGCTGATCCTTGCTAGAGCTACCTAAAACTGGCCAGAGAAACTTGTGGGAGGGAGTAGCAAAGAAAGTATCAAGCCTTGTAACTGGCCTTTGCAGGGAGGAGAGAAGGGCCATTCTTGGAGCATTTTTCTTCAGGGGATTTCAGTATGGGTAACCACACATGATACCACCACTGGGCTGTGACCAGCTTCCTCTGCCAACAGAGTGATCTGATGCTGCACAGAAGAGCTCTGCTTGGTCAAGTTGCCAGTTTTCTCCTACAGTTCCAGGTTATCTTGAGCAAAATAACTGCCTACTTTCCACATGGTTGAAAAGGACTCCTGTCTCTTTTGCACCAAGGTCCCTCCCAAAGCTGCTTCCCTGACTGAAGAGAGAGGCAGGACAGCCTCCAGCCTTTGTATCTGTACAAATACAGAACCCTGAGATGGAGCCATCAAGTAACATTTTGGAAGCCAGACCTTGCCACAGCCTGTTACAGGTAGATAAACACACCACCACAGTGTTTATCATGCTCTGGCTACTCTGAAAATTGCTTTAATGTCATGGAGATTGTTTTGCTGAGAAACTGCTTGGAGCTATGTTTCTTCAGGGAGCTTTCACACAAAGATGTGGGTGAGGATTTGTTCTGTGTTGCTGCGTACAGGGTTTGGGACACATGGAGAAGCTAAAGGGGCTTTAGCTCACTTGAATGGGTTGAGGGGCAAAGAAACCTTTGCAATAAGCTGTGTACTGCAGATGTGACCATGTGACACTCCGGAAAACTCTGTGATACAGCATCTCCATTGTGTTGTACTGGCCATTCCTGCTTTGTACAGCAGCTGTGACATTGGAACCACCTTCATTGTCACTTGGGGCTCCTAAAGTCCCTTTCCCATTGCCTGCAAGATCAGAAGAGAGGTCCATTACATAAGGTGACAAAGCTATCATTTTGATATGATCTTAAGAATGCCAGCTGGATTACCAGCATTAGAAAAGTAAAAATCTTAAGAATAAAGTTAGCTAATACTAAAGGAACGCATCTGCCATGATTCCCATATGAATTCTCTTGTGACCTTTATAGTTGCTTTTTGACATCCACACCTGCCTGCATAGAGGCCTTTGACAGGAAAGACTTTCCCCTTCCTTTCTGCCTGTCGTTTTTTGTCATGCTTGTAATCCCTCTCCATCCACCTGTTCTCCTTGGCTGTTGCCAATTAACCTTCAGTGTTGCACGCAGGGGTTCTGGGCAATTCAGATGCAGAGTGAGTGGTATTTTGTAAAAAGACATTTTTACCCCCTATAAAAGCAGAAATTAGAGAAAAAATAAAATGACCCCCCTTCTGGATATTCTCTGAAGCCCAATGGAGGTGTTACTGGAAACATTTTCAAA